ATTACTTCCACCAGTCCACATCTGACCATCCTTAGTTCGATTGGCTTTCCCCTGCCGGGAATAAAATACAGAATCCCTTGATTACACAGTGAGTAAACTTCCTTTCAATTCATTCACTGCCCCGACATGTGGGCAAACACCCTACCATCACAACAACACTGCGGAATAATCGCTCATAGCATTATGGCAACCTGTGCCTAGCCTCAAGGCTCTTAGAAGTTCTGTTACTGAGCTGAATACTAGAATATCCTTCCATAAGGTGACTATAACAGTCCAATCAACTATACCGGGAGAATCATCCCGCACCACATTTGTAGTGCCATTGCAATCCTTCAATCTTCGATTTATAACAGCGCTTGCATAAGATTGAGTAGAAAGAAACCAAAGGCATAAGCCTCAAGGGAATTGAACCGCACGATAAGGAAACAAAGAAGGGAAGTACTCCTAACAGCCCTGTAGCCTCCCGAGGATAAGTACAGACGTCTCCGTACTGATCCGCGAGACTCTACTAGACTTGCTCNATCCCTCCCGGACCAGAACTTCTTGTTTCCGAGGGCGAATCTATCAAATTTGATCAACCATTAACGAGTAATCCTAATGTAGGCGGATTTGGTCAGGGAGATGCAGAAATAGTACTTCAAGATCCATTACGTGTCCAAGGACTTTTGTTCTTCTTGGCATCTGTTATTTTGGCACAAATCTTTTTGGTTCTTAAAAAGAAACAGTTCGAGAAGGTTCAATTGGCCGAAATGAATTTCTAGATTCGCAGATTTGACTTTCATTATTTTTATTTCGTTTTTTTTTATTGGAGTAGTGTGACTATGTTACTATTGACAGATTTCAATGCCATAAGACGTATCAATAGTTTTCTATTCTAAATAGAAAGAAAGTCAAATTTGTCTAAATACTAGACATAAGGAAGCAGGGGATAAATGTGGGGAACAAAAAATTCTAGGAGGGATTATTTGTCTTCCTAGTCTTCGACACAAGAAAGGGGTGTAGAAAAATCCTTTTTTCTTGTGTCGAAACGAAAGAGTAATGATTCTTGACCCTGTTTGTTAAAAATTCCTAGTCTTGGTTTCGATTTTTCCAGATGTATCAGAAACCCTTTACCTTACCCCCACCCCCCCCATTTTTACGTATAATATACTAAGCGGTGGACAAACAAAACAAAAAAAGAGAGGAAATTTTATTAATTAAATAAAACTTCTTCAATCAACTTATCTTATACAAAATTTGATGATGAAATATGAAAACAATAAAAAATAAATAGAGTAATGTAATAGAGAGAGTAAGGTTCTACATTAGATTAGTATAGAAAGGATTTGCACGATATCTAATATATTATAGCAGCCAAGAAATTGAGTGATTCCTTCTTTCTTCCAACTTTGAAAGTACCGATAGATACTATCATAGAAAAAGAAGAGGTGGTCGGAATAGTGAATTTTTCAAAAACATGATCAGAAAAATGAGAAAAATGGAGTTTTTGAAAAGAAAAAGAAATCCATTTTATCATTTAGACGAAAAAAATATTATGATTCTTAAGAACTCAACGGGCCCTTCCCCTTCGAATCAAACAAACAAAGAAGGGAATCCCGTTGAGTTCTTACGCTTTCATGTTGACGACTCAATTCATTCGATTACTACAGGGATGAACCCAATCCGGAATATGAACCATAAAAGAAAATACCTATTAAACCGATTACAAGAATACCAGCTACAGTACCTATTATCCAAAGAGGAATCCTTCCAGTAGTATCGGCCATTTACCCCACTTCCCTCCAGATTTCATCAAGTGGTCATGCTAGAGACATAAACAGTCATGGATAATTAAATTATGAGATCCTTCCGAATGAGCTAAGAGAATCTTATTTATTCTCTTTCGTTTTGTTAATTGAAGAAATTATTGGAAAATAAAAAAGCAAGTACAAAAATGAGTAATAACCCCCAGTAGAGACTGGTACGATTCAATTCAACATTTTGTTCGTTCGGGTTTGATTGTGTCGTAGCTCTATAATTCGGATTAAGTTTATCGTTGGATGAACTGCTGATATTGATCCAAAAAAAAAAGACGGTAGGTACAGCTAGGCCGTGAACAGCCAACCATCGTACTGTAAAAATTGGATAGGTTCGATCTATAGTCATTAGGGCCTCCTAAAACGATCTACTAAATTCATCGAGTTGTTCCAAAGGATCAAAACGGCCAGTTATTAATGGAATTCCTTGTCGGCTCTCTGTAAAATACTCGTTTGGCCGAGGGCTTCCAAACACATCGTAAGCTAAACCGGTGCTGACAAATAACCAACCCGCAATGAATAGGGAAGGTATAGTAATGCTATGAATGACCCAGTATCGAATACTGGTAATAATATCAGCAAACGAACGTTCTCCTGTGCTTCCAGACATGCTGAGCTCCACATATTCTTGTATAGTCAAAGAGGATCGATTCCATAAAAGGAATCCAAAATTTCTCAAAGATAAAGGTTACCCATGACCTTAGGAACTCAAATATATAATTTTCTCTAAATTCCATACCCAAAATCGGGGCTAAATTCCAAGAATATGATTTTCTAGGTTTTTTCACCAAAACCCCAATTTTTATACTAATTTTCATGTCTAATTCCATGGTATAGTCTTGTATTTAACTTGGAAATAAGTAGGAGTAGCTTACCTTAACATTGATGATGAAATCTCTCCTTGAAGCTCTCCAAGAATCGCCCAATGAAGTGAAGAAAATGAGAGAAATGGCCAAACATCCGATTCAAAAACAATGCTTCTGCCCCCAGCTATTTCCGCTTCTGCGGAACTATTACCGCTTCCGCGGTCACGCTTTTGCGGCCAAAACTCCGCTTTTGCGGACAAGGGGGCTCCAGCCATTTTCGCTTTTGCGGTCGGCCTACCGCTTCTGCGGTTCCGCATCAGCGGATCAAGGGCCGCTTTTGCGGTCCTGGCTGCCCTCACTCTCGACCGCTTCTGCGGCTTCTTTCCCGCTTCTGCGGGGCCGCTTCTGCGGTCCCATCTCCGCAGAAGCGGAAACACCAGCAACCAACAACTCAGCTATTTCCAAAAATCTATTTTCGATCCGTTAACCACCCGGAATCCACCCGAGGCCTCCGGGACAACCAATCACTCCAACCAGTCCCAAAACACATTACGGACTTGCTCGAGGATTCAAATCATATCAAACAACGCTAAAATTATGAATTACACCCCAATTCAAGCTTTACGAACTTTAGAATTTCAAACTTCTATTTCCGATGTTTAAACCTATCAAATCACGTCCGATTGACCTCAAATTTTGCACACTAATCATATTTGACATTACGGACCTACTCCAACTTTCGGAATTGGATTCCGACCCCGATATCAAAAAGTCAACCTCCGGTCAAACTTCCCAAAAACCTTCAAATTTCTATCTTTAGCCAAATGGCTTCAAAATGACCTACGGACCTCCGAATTCACTTCCGATCGCGCTCCCAACTCCAGAATCACCATACGGAGCTATTCCCAGACTCGGAATCCCAAACGGACATCGATAACACTGAAATGCACTTCAAGCCAAACTTAAGAAATTCCTTCTAAAATGCTAACTTCCACATTAGGCGCCAAAACACTCCCGGGTTATCCAAAACCCGATCCGGGCATACGCCCAAGTCCGAGATCATCATGGAACCTGCTGGAACCTTCAGATCCTAATTTCGAGGTCGTTTACTCAAAATTCCAATCCTAGATCATTCTTTCAACTTTAAGCTTCCGAAATGAGGATTCTCTTCCCAAAGCAACTCCGAACTTCCCGAAATTCAATTCCGACCACGCGTACAAGTCATAATACTGGAAATGAAGCTGTTCATGGCCTCCGACTGCTGAAATGACCGGTCGGGTCGTTACACTTTGTATTGCTACAAAAGCCAATCAGAAGGAAATCATTGAGACATTACATTGAGAAAATTGCGGCCAAGAAGTTCAACTAGAGATTCTTCCATAGCTCACCCAACTGAAATTCAGAGACTTAAATCGCAGCAGCAAAGGCATAGGCCAAAAGGGATAACATTCTAAAAATCTGCTGCAAACCACTTCTATTGATTTTTATGGACTCTTAATTTTAATCTGTTGGTGTGCATTCCACTCCAACGACATCCACACTATAGCTGTTCCTGAGAGAAAATAGAACTCCTTAAGACAGTCAAAAGTGGTGTATGACTTGGAGCGAGTTTAAGTAATTGCAAAGAAAGGAAAGAATGCGCTGATGCAGAAAGATAATAGCTAAATTTGGTAAATTGAGTCATGTGCAATATAGATTGAATTACGCCGATAAATCGCTGATAACCGCCCGATAAGAGCTAAACCGATACCAATCCGCCCGATATCTTATCGAGTGGCTAGCTGATTAATACATTTAAAAGCCGATAACCGATAAGCCAAACCGTTAAGAGTAAATAACCGCCCAATCCGCCTGATAAGCAACCCTAATTGAGAATCTCGTCACAATGTTCCTCTAAGCAGATAATAAAGAAAGTATTTGGGGTATCTTTATATAATATGAAAAGTAAAATAAGTCTTTCTAGTTCAAAAGGCATTAGACAATTATGTTAGAGTGTGATCAATTAAAGTATTTCTTGTTGTAATGATATACATGCATCATATGTATAAAAAAAAGAGAGGTTTTGTTCTAGGAAATTCTTTGGAATTTTATAATTATCATCAATTCATTTACAACTACAATACAGTAAAAATATAATCAACAGTAATATTTGTCCTTAACTCAGCACTTGATTCATTCACTTAAGTCACATATAACATTCATAAGTTCCTTCTCATCATTATTTGAATGATATAATAGCATAAACGTTCACATGAGATATTAGTGCGATATTTCAAAACAATAGCTCTTCTAATATAAATAAAGTCGATAACACAAAGAGTCAAGTAATTTCAGATATTAAATTATGATTTTAAATGGTAGAACCCAAATTAAAATACAAATAAAACTACTTCTCCTTCATACCAAAGTACTTGCTAATGCAATTGTACGAATAATGTCATTTCAAATGAGGTAAATGCATCCATTCATGGATTTTTCTCCTGTTTAATCACTCTTTTAACCTTGTTACTTGAAAATTGTGCAAGATCATCATCAACCTCTTCTCTACTTCTCTTGGCATGGGTCTTTGCAGGAGAAGTTATCTCATTATCAGCCATTGAATCCTACAGAGAAAAAAATAGTTAAGGGTCAAATAATCAGAAGAAAAATAAATTATTAAAACCATATTGTAGATGAGAAGCTATACAGGCAAAGTTTGAATTATTCACCTTGAAAGTTGTGTCTGCATCAGTGACTTGTTCACAATTGAAATCAGGGTCCTATTAAGAAAATAATAACAAAATTAATTTAAACTTGATAATCGATTATATAAAATCAAAGGGAAAACAATGAAGTATTTGAGTAACGATCACATACAGTGAATGCATCTGCTTGCGGAGAATTAGTATTTGGCTATGTGATTTTACTTCATCATAACTTACAACCTCTCCTATGACATCAATAATGCAATTAGAAAAATAGTCACTACAAAGTTGATAACACATTCAACTAAAAGAACTGCGAAACAAACAATTCATAAATAATATTGAGTCGGGCAAATACTCAGTTGTACAGTGTTGTCACAGATTATATTAAACAATCAAGCACCAATGGGTAAAACATACTATTTGAATGCCTGCCTTTCCCAAATAACACAAAATGCGGATTTTATGTTATTACTATTCATATGACAATAATCTTAGATATTTTATAGTTTAAGATCTCCAAATTCTCGCCCATGAAAAAAAATTATTTAGAACAAAATATAAATGATTTCAAGTATATAAAAGTTCTTTTCTACTTTAGAAAAAAATATTTAGTTTAATGTTTAGCGAACACCTCTTTACTTTGTTGACAGATAAACAAATAAAAAGAACGCACCTTTTTATTATAGAATAAGTAATATATCTCCATCTAGACCATAAAAAACTGAAATTGCAGTTGATTAAATACACGCAGAACCTGATGAATTCCATAGTACAAATCAGAAGATGGAGATTGTAGTCGAAATACGGGAAAAAATAAATGCATCTAAAAAAAAACCTTTTCGTCTTGAATAATTAATTCAAGGGACAACGGGTTGTCTGGTTTGACGCGATCTAGAACGTGCCACAATCTCACGACTCATACGTTCAAATTCCAACTCATCTTGTTACTCGATATATCGCTGATATAGTCAACTTTTGCCACCATATTTTGCCTTAGAGAAAATTTGATCAAAGGATTGTCTGTACTAAAGAATATGCTCGATGTAGCGCTCTCTCTCTCTCTCTCTCTCTATATATATATATATATATATATATATATATATATATATATATATATATATATATATATACCCTAAGCAGTAATTTAGTATGAAAAAATTTGGTTGCTACATGTATGTATTGTATATAGTATATATTCGCATAATCTTTTTATTTGCTATAAATAAGAAATAAAATACGTGTGTTTAGGGGCATTAACATTGTGGAAAAGAAATTTTCATAAAAAGAGCAGGAAAATGTGTGATTCACTCCATAAAATATAAGGGAAAATTTTAAATTCCAAGCAACTAATTTAGGGTTTATATCTAAAATTAAGGAGAAGAGTCATCTGCACAAACATACCTCGAATTGAATTTTGTTGGAGATGATAAAATGTAATTGCTATCGAAAAATTGTGAATCTTTTTCAAGTAGAAATCCCTCCATTTTAGATAATAACCATTCTGATATGAGGAGGTCTTAGCCCGTTTCTGATTTTGTAAACATACACTATTTCTTGTTGTTGAGTTTCTTCTCATCTTCCATGACCAAGTGATGTTGACCATTGAGTTAACATGAGAGTTGGGAATTTTGTTTAAGAAGAGATAGAGATAAGAAGCTTTAGTAAATATAAAACACGGTTCTTTTGTTTAAGATGTGGTATTTTTGTAATTTTTAGTATTTTTTAATTTATTTAGTTGAAAACACATACAATTAACTTTAAGTAACTAAAATTTTTTGGAAAAGAGGCGATAAAATTGGGATGAATGAGTGTTTATTAGCCGAAAAACTATGTATTAAAATATCTATTTTAATTGAAATAAGTTGCCAAATGTCTTATTAATAGATTGTCACTTGGCTTCTTAATAACTTGCCACTTAGCTAAATGAGAAGGCAAACTTTCTTGCTTTAATATATATAGATATGAATTTTTTTGGAAACTATTTGACTGACACGTATTTAAGATTTTTTTAAAAATATGATATTTGCATGACTTTAAAATTAATTATGTTAAATATTAAATGTTAATCAGCAGCTGAGCAATAAGCTAGTAGTTAACTCTAGTTAATTTTAATGTAATATTAAACTAGAGTTAAAGAGTTATTTGATGGTTAAGTAAGTCGGTTAGGTTGTTACAAGTAGTAGTCGACTTTGTACAATTGCATTCTTCTTCAGAAATGCAAGCGGTTTCTCTCTGATTTCCTATTCTTCTTCTTAGCTTTGATTTCATATCCATGGCAGCTAACATGGTATCAGATCCACCATTGAAATCTAAGCTAATTTGCGAGCAAATCTCGTCTTCTCTGTTACTTCAATTCTGCAATTGAGTGCTGAATTGAGCTAGAGTAACCTTCGATTGAAGCTAGGGTTTTTAAGCTACTTACTCTGAAGCTATTTCTTAGTCAACAATGGCGATCGGAGATGAACACACTGCCACAACTTCAACTACTGGTAATTTCACGGTTGGAACTACTACATTTCAAAACCAACAGATACACCGGGTAGTTTTCTGATTTCTCTTCAACTTATTGGATCAGACAATTATGCCTTGTGGAGTCGTGCAATGAGAATTGGCTTGCTAGGTAAAAGTAAACTAGGTTTTGTCGATAGCATATTTCCTAAGTCTAAATTTGAGCCTGAGCTTCATGATCTATGGGAGAAAGTTAATGCTATAGGTCTCTCATGGATAATGAATGCTGTGAGACCAGGGTTGTAGAGTAATGTATTGTATGCATCTAGTGCTCATGGAGTTTGGGAGGATTTGAAAGAGAGGTTTGATAAAGTAAATGGTTCGAGAATACTGTATTTGTATAGAGAAAGTTCACACACTGACCCAAGGGACTATGACTGTAACCGACTACTTCTCAAGGCTTAGAGAGTTGTGGGATGAGTTTGATTCCCTCATGCCTTATCCTAGTTGTCCTTGTACTGAATCTAAACAATATGCCCATCACTTTGAGTATCAAAGACTTCTTCAATTTCTCATTGGGTTGAATGAGTCCTATTCTCAAAGGATTCAGATCATGATGATGTCTCCTCTCCCTAGTATAAACAAAGCATATTCTTTGTTAGTAGATCAGGAAAGTCAAAGAAACCTCACAAGCACAACACAAGTTGCTCAGGTTACTGAGGCTTTGGAGAGTACAACCCTATATAGCAGTAAGAATGTGAATAATGCTGGGAATTATAAGTTCATAAGGAGTCAAGTTCAATGTGAATATTGTCACTATAAGGGACAAACAAAAGAAAATTGTTACAAATTGATTGGATATCCTTCTAACTTCAAAGCCAAAAGAAAAGGAATTAGTTCAGGACAACCAATTATGCAGGCAATGCAGAAATTACATGTGCAGAGAGATGTAATATGGCAACCAATGTGACACCTACTGTCAATCAACAATCTAGAGAAAGTGGATCATCTAACTTAGGTACAACACAACAAATGAGTCAACCTGCTCTCATCCAGCAAATGCCATATCCAGCTCATGTTTTCACTCCTGAGCAATATCAACAAATTATTCATCTACTTTCTAAAGGGAATTCAGAAGGATCAGACACATCCAACAAAGGTGCTACAGCAGGTATTCTAAACCATATGAATACTTTTATGTCTCAATGTGTCAATAGTAAGTGGATAGTTGACACTAGGGCTTCAAATCACATGACTTCAAGTTTAGAGATGCTACATACTCATAGACCACTTTCAAATACAGAAGCAAACAAAGTATATTTGCCTACTGGAAATGTTGTGTTAGTGTCAACACATGTTGCACTTGTGTATTAAGTAACCAGGAGATCTCTAATGTTCTGTACATTTCTGACTTTAAGTTCAACTTACTGTCAGTCTCAAAACTCACTAAAGAGCTAAAGTGTATGGTTGAATTCTTCCCTGACTTCTGTATTTTTCAGGACCTCTTCAGTGGTCATGTGAAGGGGATTGGTAGAGAATAACATGAGATGTACATTTTGCAAGGAGGCACCTCAAAAGAAGATCTACATCATGCAACAAATAAGTGTGTTAACACAATAAATACTATGTCACTCTCTTCATGTACTTCTGTTTCTAGCACTTTATGTCATAGAAGGTTATGACATGCTCCTTTAGATATAATAAAGAGAGTAGAAGCACTAAGGAAACTCACAACAGTTGATTCTCATCATTGCATTGTCAATCTTGTAGCTAAACAAACCAAGTTGCCCTTTCAGCTAAGCAGTACCACTACAAAATCAGTATTTGAACTAGTTCACTGTGATATATAGGGACCTTATAGAGTGTCCACACATGATGGTAAGAGATATATTGTCACCATAGTTAATGACTATATAAGTTATACTTGGATATTCTTATTACATTCTAAGTTAGATGCTATTGTAGTTCTAAGAGATTTTCTCAATCAAGCAAAGAATGTTTTCTCTACTATTGTAAAAGTTCTAAGAACTGATAATGGAAGTGAATTTTCCAGTACTGAGTTTAAGTGTCTGTTATCTAATCTTGGTATTTTACATCAAAGCACATTTGTTTATATACCCCAATAGGATGGGGTGGCATAAAGGAAACACAGGACTATCTTGGAAATAGCTAGATCACTCAGATTTCAGGCTGCAGTACCTTTAAGATTTTGGGGAGAATGTGTTGCTATGACAGTATACTTACTTAATCGACTGCCTTCTAAAGTTGTTGGATACAAATCACCATACCCTCCTTCATTGTCTCATCTCAGAGTTTTTGGCTGCTTATGTTATGCCACCAGTCCTCAAGTGCTGGATAAGTTCTCACCCAGAGCAATACCTGCTGTGTTCTTAGGATACTCCTCCACTCAAAAGGGTTTGTTGTACACTCTGCATTCAAGATCATTTATAGTCAATAGGAATGTTGTGTTTCAGGAGAATATTTTTCCCTTCAAGCATGCAACATCCACTGGAAGTCTTGTATTTCCTTTCCTAGATACTCTGAGCAACATCACTTCTCATTTTCCTGCACCACAAGCAACAGAGATGTCCATTGACACCAGCTTAAATCAGTTGCCTACATACTCCTCTTAGAGAGCCCCTCACTCTACAACAAACTCAGAAGAAGTTGTTTTTATAACCCTTTTTGTTGTTGGTCAATTGCCTAATGTCAGTCACAATACACATGTGTTTCCTCAACAAGCTGATGAGCCTCCTACTGAACACAGAAGATCATTTAGACCAAGCAAGCCACCTT